CTGTATCTCCTTCTTTTAGAAACGTCTGCTTGTGTGTGTGTGTGTGTGTGTGTGTGTGTGTGTGTGTGGTATGTGTGCTTGTTAGCATGGGTGTGAGCATGTGTGAATGCAGGTACACCAGCAGGTGGGTACCAGTGCACATGAAGGCCAGAGGTCAAGACCTTGAGTACTCGATTGCTTATTTTTTGTGATGGGGTCTCCTATGAATGGATCGTACGTTTTGTGACCTTTTGTGTCTGACTTCTTTTATTTTGTGTGTTTTCAAGTTTCATCTGTGTTGTAGCATGCAAAAGAACCTCATTTTTTAAAATTAATTTTTATTTATTTATTTCATGTGTATGAATGTTTTGCCTGCATGTCATGCAGTGCCCCAGGAGGCCAGAAGAAGGCATTAGATCCCCTGGAACTGGAGTTACAGATGATTGTTAGTTGCCATGTGGGTGCTAAGAACTGAACCCAGATCCTCTGCAAGAGCAGCCAGGGTTCTTAATCACTGACCCATCTCTGCAGTCCCAAGATGTTGGGGGTCCTTCCCCAACACAGGAGCCAGGGAAAGGGAGGTGAGCTGTCCACCGGTTACCCGCAGTCTCCCTGGGAGAGAGTCAAACACGACAGGGAGCCAGTCAAGCAGGAACTCGTTTATTGCAGGCGTTACAGGGCTTATGAAGGCAAAAACCACAAAGGAAAATCCCCTCCCCAACCAAGTGTCCAATCATATTAAAGGTGAACTTGAGCATGCCGTCTCCTCTCCATAGCACAGCATAGAGTTCACGAGGTGATCACGCACTGCCAAGATGCACGGAAATGGCAGGAGCCAATCAGCAATTCTTCAAAACAAGTCTGGCCATGTCCTGGCCGTTTCCTCTAGGCACCTCTGATCACGCCCTGGCCGGTTCCTCTAGGTGCCATCTTGCCCTGTCCTCGGCCTCAGGCCCCCACATCTCTCCCCCTACTTTGTTTTAAAAGTGAGGTTCCTTAAGGATAGCCCCTGGGGATGGGGTGCACTGTCCCCATTGCCCTCCTCTGCTATGGCCTCCCTGTCTTAGGTTACCTCTCCTCAGGTGCTGAAGTTGCCCGTCCTTGGGTAACTATGATTGCCCTCATGGCCCCTGTCTTGGGTTCATCAGTCTGGGAGGGTCTTACCCATCATTGGGACCAGCCATGCCCTTTTGCGGTTAATATACAGGGGTCTATCCCATAAGGGGGCAAAGCAACCTGGGTCCTCAGGCTAGCTCAAGCATCCATGCCTGGATTTGTCTTGAGGAGCAGCCCGAGGGGGACTGGATGGCCAGGGCAAGTTGGACCAGGACTTTTTTCATCTGTCTTTGTCTTCTGATAACCGAGCAGAGACACCTGAGGAGAATAAAAGCTAGCACAGCATTAGAAACATGCTCCCATACCTTACTAAAAAAGGACTTACTAAAAAAGGAGGAGTCCATTGATAGGACTGGGGCCTGGGTATAATTTAGAGCAATAATCTAATTGGTCAACAATATGGAATAATTAAGAAATTTTTGTGTCCAGTGGCCGTGAATATAGTCGACGAGTTGTAGGTGTGATTTAGTAATATTTTGAACTCTGTAAGGGGTGAGACAAAGTGACCTAAAGCGAGGATCGCAAGCTAACAGAGCCCTGTCTTTGGTAAGTGAAAGCTCTTCACTTAAGGGCAAGAGTATAGGCGGGGAAGGGACCAAGGCCCAGAGGTCCTTGGCTTTTATCTGACAGATGGCTAGAAGGAGAAAGAATACCATTATTGACAGATTTTGGTCAACCATCTATTGATCAGGTCTTGAGTAATGATGGTAACGATAAAGATGATGATGGCCAGGGCAGCAGCTGTGAGCACGACAATGAAAGCCTTCCATCCTGTAAGACATAGAAATCCTCCTCAAAGGGCTGTTACCTTTGGGACAGGGTTATTCCTGCATCTTTAGATTCCTTGCAGGTACCCAGATGGGTTGGGGTTCATCTGTGGGAAAGACGCATCCAAACCCCCTGCCCATAGTAAGGAGCGGGTCGGGTCCTTGCCATTGTCCCTTTACTGGATCCTTCCATCTGACCCATACCTCTGATCTTTGCTCCTGATGTCCCCAATGTTTTTGGAATTGAGATTCCAATTGACCTTTTTGAAAATTGAGAATACTAATGGTAAATAAGGCCTAACCCAGCTGTTGGTGGGGGCTTACTCCCCCTTTTTGTTTTTGTAATTGGGTCTTTAGGTCCTGATGGTTACATTCTATGATAGCTTGGCCCTGGAGGTTATAGGGGATCCCCATGTTATGGTGGATTCCCCATAAAGAGAAGAAGTCCTGTAAGCTTTTACTTATGAAGCATGGTCCATTGTCAGTTTTAATCCTTTGAGGTAATCCCAGCATAGCGAAGCACTGGAGGAAGGGAGACTGAGCATGTCTAGATTTTTCTCCTGTATGGGTGGTGGCCCAGCAGGCATGTGAGAATGTGTCAATAGACACAAAAACATACTTACATTTTCCAAAAGGAGCATAATGTGTGACATCTGTCTACCAAAGAGAGTTAGGCTTTAGCCCCCTAGGGTTTACCCCTGATTGTTGGAGGGGTGCCACCTGTAGAAAGGGTTGACAGGACTTACAGGTATGTATAATCTTTTTTGGGTCTTTGATAGGGACTTGAGGGACCCTCTTATGGAGTCCCTGCCTATTTACATGGGTACGATCATGTAGTTGTTGAGCTTTTTTCAGGCCTGCTGATAGGATATGGGTAGAAGCCATTTTGTCTGCCTCTGCGTTGCCCTGGGAGAGGAACCCAGGCAGTCCTTGGTGGCCCCTAAAGTGCTGTAAGAAAATGGGGGCCCTTCTTTCTGTTAACAGTGTTTGAACCTGGATCATTAGGGGGGTAATAGGGTTATCATCTAGCCAAATATGAGAATTTAATAATCCCGGGA